CAGTTCTATGAAACAAGATAACTTTGTTTACTAAGCAAGAATGCAATCCAACCTGTCCCCGAAGATCAGATTCCTGTGGGGTTCTACTCCCGTTACTTTACTATCTCAAAATGAGGTGGCCTTCGGTTATTCTGGACTCTATCTTTCCCCTCCTTTGAAAACACGATTGTCTTGCAGTTACCAACCTAAAAGATGCTTATTTTCACTACTTGCTCCTCTGTTTTCTTGGACAATCAAGCCTACAATTTTTTTAAAAAAACCCAACAACCTCCCCTTTTGGTCTTTCAACTGTGCTACATGTTTTCACCAAGTGTAATGACACTGGTGGCAGCCTACCTGACACTTCAGGAGATCTCAGTGTTCCTGTACATCGATGAATGGCTAATTGTCACTCAGGCCAACGCAGAACAAGATTACAGAGGGATCTCAAGAGTCAATTTCAGCATGAATTCAGACAAATCCGCCCTAAGTCCATCTCAAATGATTAGATACATCAGAGCAGTGCTGAACTCCATGTCCGCCAGGACTTGCCTCCCAGAAGATAGGTTTTTGAAGTTGGCCGAGCTTCTAGAGCACTTTAGACTGTGAGCCAAGGTAGTTCAGAAAGTTCTCGGCTTGATAGCATCCAAGATGGTGGTAGTCACCCGTGCCTGCTTCATAATGAGATAATTGCAGGCATGGTATCTGGCCCTCTTCGACATTCAGTTGGACAGGAACTCAAAACTACTCATCACAACTCTTTCTCACTGCAGTACATGTGCTCTCGAGGACAACAGCCTTGAGGACGACCTCAGTCGCAGATTATCTCATGTTCTCAAATGAGAGTTGGATAGTCACATTTTCAATGCCGTGCACAATCTCTGGGGCATGCCATTTGTTGACTTGTTTGCAACACAGCAAAACAAGAAATGTCTTCTATGTTGCTCCAGAGCTGGCCAAGGGACAGCCTCATTGGGAGATGCTTTGGTCGCCAAATGGCTCAGGTCTCTGCTCTACCTTTTTTCCACCCATACTGTTGCTCCACAGAGTAAGGCAAGGCAGGGCAGACATCATTTTAATCTCCCCATGGTGGCTCCTGTAGACCTTGTGCACTCTCGTCTGTCGTATTCCTACACACCTTGTGCATTGTGGGAAAAGAGGCAGCCTTGTGTGGTCATGTAATTATGATTAACATGTTGCTGTTATGAGCTGGTGGAGCTCTCTGCCACTAGGATTATGTAGCGGATAAACTAACATTGAACAAAGAACTTGAACAAATTCATGGAAAAATGGAAGTGCCAACAGGGCACACAGTGCAATGCTTTTAATGTCTCTTTAATCAAAATCCAAAGAAACAAAACAAGACAAAACAAAAACAAACCACTTCAAACAGAAGTGACTGGTGTTTTCAAACAATTCAAAAACTCAAATAAGTACTTCCTATTTGTATGCAGGGCACTTCTTTAACACGCGCACTTTCTAAACCTGGTAAGCATCACAGCCGAACCTATTTTTATTTGCTAATCACTCTTTTTTAAACATAAATGTGTTGGCTGCTTTAAAATAGAAATAGGTGGCCTCCATCTTGATCACATCAAGCTGAGAAATGTTAGAAGCTTTAAAAAAAGAGAGAGAATGAAATTTACCTCTTGGCAGCCCATGAGGTGTTAATTGGCTCGCAAGCTGAATATGGGAGTGAACTGGGGGGGTGTTCCATTGCTTCCCATTTCATTCCCCTCATTGTGAGCTGAAGGTACAACTGAAATCCCTAGAGAAAAGCAAAATGAAAGGGACATGGTTCGTTCATATAGTCACAGTATCTTCCAGTTGTGTTCTCCTTTTACCCAAAATCAGAGGGACAGGGGAGAAAATGTCTAAATCCTAGACTAGCTCTGGAACAGAACCAGATCCCTTTGAATCCCTGGTGTCAAATAATGTCTCTTGTTTCCTGTTTGCTAGTGGTTGTTACCATAGCACACCCAAACATTATTTAGAAGCCATGAGTAGAGGAAGATTTTTTTTCTCAGGTTCTGTCTGGAGACCAAACTTTCTATATTACATTTGGGTTTAATTTTAATTTTCTCATCAGTCCTAGAACAAGTGTTCATGTGTTTTCAATACAGACATGCTTCCTTTTCCTGGAACAGTTCACCTTGGTTTATTGTGCTTCTTATTCTCAGTACGTATATATATATATATTAAAGTGCATTTATGTGGTTATGTCATATGTGATTCACACCACCTCATAAGTTGGAACTTGTCAGGAAAGCATGTGTTGGGGTGGAACTGTGAAAAGACTGTGAGGTAATAGGTCTGTGGGTCTGTAGCGGAGTTTGCATTAGCTTCTGATAGAAGAAAAAAAAAGGAAAGAAAAAAAGGAAGGAACAAGAAAAAGCAGAGTACTGCTTATATGTATATTGCCCCATAGTGCTTAAAGCACTCTCTGAGTGGTTTACAATTTAATTATGCAGGCTACACATTGCCACCCCCACCCCCACCCCCCGGGTACTTAATTTACTGACCTTGGAAGAATGAGTGAACCTTGAGCCTGGCTACCTGGGATTGAACCCAGCTTGTGAACAGAGTTTTGGTTGCAGTATTGCAGTTGAACCACTGTGCCACAAAGCTCTAGAAGCTGGCAGATCAAACAAAGAAAGTTGTTGGTTACCTTGAGGGCAGACGTATGTGCTGAACAGGGAAAAACATCAATAAAAATGCTCTGGTAGTAGGCAGTTGTCAAAGGGGGACACCATAAGATATCTGTCTACACCAGACGAGCCATGTAAGATCTTTTGCTTTTTGTTGTTGTTGTTACAAGAAAAGGTTTGAGAAATAACCAGGAAGTGGAATGCAGTAGCACAGCCAGAATGAGGTGTGGGTTTCGGCTTTGCCCTTTGGGTAAAATAGCGGTCACTTTCGAACATGAGGTTTAAGTCATCACTCCTTTGATCCCACCTCATGATATTTGCTTAGGGAGGAGAGAAACGGGAGAAGAAACATTCGTAATGCAGATGGGATAATACTAGAGTTTTATAATCATTCTGCATGCCTGATTGAATCTCCTGAGTGAAAATGGCTTGAGTTGCAAGCCATTTGGTTGAGCAGAAACAGCCAACACGATGGTCTTTCCCCAGTGTGATGGCTGAGGCAGGCGCTGGACTTTGCCAGGGTACCTGGAGGTCTTTGTAAGATGCCCAGTTTCTGCCTTCTCCAACCTTCTGCATCTCTCTGTGATGAGGCTTTTGGTCCTGGACTTTATTTCCTGGCTTTCCAGCAACTTCCTATTCACAGTTTATATTATAATCACAGATACTGGGGCCAAACAGCCAACCAAACCTGGGCTGTACTCCAACGCAGTGCCTAGACATTATTAATTATGCTCTGCACTCTGCACTGCCAAGATTCTCCATGAGACACTCCTGGCCAGTGAAGTGGTTTCTTGTAGCCATTCCAGCCTAATCACATTGCTGTGTCATGGTGCCAGCCAATCAGAAAGAGCTTTGTCTGTGCTGGCCATTGGTCGGGAGCAGCATGTCCTGGGGCAGGACCTAGGCTCGGTTGGTTGGTGTTCCAGATGCTTTTGAATGCTAAATCCCACCCTGGCTGTATCCAGAGTAGCCAATAGCAAGATCTGAGGAGAGTAGCCGTTCATCAACCTCTGGAGTACAGAAGGTTCCCCACCACTGCTTTAGGGTAGAACCACTAATGAGTTAAACCTGAGATGGAAATTGAGACCTCTGGGTCTTGAAGCTTGGCAGCATCTGAAACCATGCGATTCTACATAGTTTGTGTTCCACAAGGGCTCTGTATTGAGACCTTATCTTGACATAAGTTGGCCAACATAATTGTGGAGTTATAGAAGCACTCTAAGGAGATCCAAGTGGGATATCATTGGAGGCTGAAGTGAGAGCTTGTTCTCCCAGGATGCAAATGTGTGAAATAGAAAGGCCAGAGCAGTAGCCCTGGAAACAACCAGGGCCTTTGGCCTTCTGGCTAATCAGCCGCATCCAACCTCAAATTCCATGACGCCACTGCCAGGAACAGCAGCTGAACTAGACGTTTGCTGCTGGTTTTAGCATCAGACTGTATTTTCATAATACAATAGAGAGAGACTCCTGGGGAGAAGCCTTTCATTCTGTGGAGCTCACATGTGCTGTTCCATTGAGACGATCCCATTCCACCACCAACTTCTTTGATTGTTCTCCACTCACCCCATACAAATGTCTCCTTTTGAAGGAGAAGAATGTTTTGAATCTTCATAATCCTTTTGCAATGTGAGTGGCGTGCCTAAATGATATCACTTAATATTCGTAGGGTGCTTCATCCCATGTATTACCTCAGTAATCTGTACAGGAAGGGAAGTGACTACTGTATTACATGAAAGCCAGACTGGTGGAGTGAAAAGGCATGTATTGTGACCTTTGCTTGCTGGTGGACTTTCCAGTAAGTTGCTTAGAGATGTACATTCTAACTTATTCCATTTCATGCACAAAACCCAGGAGCTTTCCCCCTGAATATCTCACCTGCAAAATGGCAAGGCATTTCCTCATGCTCTCTGTAACAGTTCTCACATTTAAAGGAATAATTTCCATGCAAATAGCTGCTGCCTTGTTGTATGGACCTTAAAAGTCAGATGGATCAATCAGTCTGTCCCTCTGGACTTGCTGTGCATGCTTTAATTCACAAATGAAAAAGGCAGCAGTTCTGTGAAGAGACACGTTGCACAAAACCCTTCACTAGTCATCATCTCCCACTGTGAGAGTCACAGAGACTAGCAATTTTGCAACAAGGCATCTCAATGTGTAGACACAGTCTGTCTCCTGGAGAACAAGTAATATTCCACATGTTCTTCGAATTCCTCTGTGCATGATCCGCTTCACAGGATTGTGAAGATTATGACTGAGAAATGGCCTCATTTGCGCTAATTTGGAGGAAGAGCAACATAAAAGTGTGATGCTTCTCTCTTTCTTCCTTTTGACATCTCTCTTTCCCCCACCTCACCCCACTTCCTGGCAGAAAAGATGCTGGGGTTGAGGGGAAAGAGTCTTGACAAGTTGCCTATTGAGTTTATGGCTGAGGTGAGATTTGATCCCTGAACGTCCAGCTCACGCTTATGGCCTCTCGTGGCTTCTTTGCTTTGACCCCCTCTTCCACAGCTTCACCAAGTCATGCACAGTGTCCCTCTGTTCTCTAGAGAGGGACACTGGTGGTCCATCCTCTGAACTACCACATTGATAGGTGTATCAATGATGTGTCTCCAGAGCCTCTCTCTGGATGGACATTGTTTTGTGAATGGTGAAAAGGGAGACAATTCACCCTAAACCCAAAGTCAGTCATGATTAAGCATTAGGACCCAGATTGTCAACCAAGCTATTAGTTTGGTTATGGAGGGATTCAGCGTAGCATACATTATCTCCTTTAAAGTAAGTGCCTAAGCTCTGTTTCAAGGTAGCCGAGACTGATGTACAAGGAATGGGTGTAGGGTCTTGTGTAGGGCCATAAAACACTGACATCAACCTGCATTGTATTTTGATGGGAGGTTGATAATGTTCAAAAATTGCCTTTCTCAAAGGGATGGATTCAGGCTGGGGTGATGGTGCAGATGGGCAGGCATACAGTCACCTCATTGGAAAGCTAGCAAGATTTACTTAAGAGCTGTATCTCCCAGAGTTTATAGACGATTATAGCATTTGATCTCAAGCTTCTTCCTTATTTATAAGAAGGCCTTAATTCAGAGGCGGAGAGGTTTTGGCCACTTAGTTATTTTGGACTGCAGTTCCTACAATCCCTTGCTGAGCTGGGCTGGGCTTCTGGGAACAAAAGGACCCAAAATCTGAAGGGCTAGAGGTTCTCCATCACTACCTTAAACATGGCAGACCCATATTCACTAACCACGATGCTTGTCTCTTTCTTCCTCTCCACTTTTTCTTGCCAGATGGACCCGGTGCAGGCGGCGGTGATCAATCACACCTTTGGGGTCCCCGTAGCCAAGGCCAAGCGCCCCATCATCTCTTGCAACGTCTGCCAGATCCGCTTCAATTCGGAGGTTAGTCTTTTTGAGGAGGCAGTGATGTCAGACTTTGAAGTTTGATATCTCAAACCTCTGCACTTTTGTTTTTCCCCTGCTCTGCTGCAAAGGAGGTCCTGGGAGGGTGGTGGTCATGAACATGTGGCGAGCATGAGAGGTGTAAACTTGGAGAATTCATGCAAAGATGGAGATTTCATGGATTTATGCTGCTGCTTCTTCAGTCTATGTGCCTCTTACATGAAACAGATCTAGCATAGCCACAAAGCTCGGGGAAACAAAGTAAGTGTAAGAAACTGGGAAAGGTGGTGATCTCTGTAAGGACTGGTTTTGGAGTCATTCGTCTCTAAATCAAAAGATGCAGAGACCCAGGTTGGTCATTGTCCAACCTCCTTGCTTCAGATAAAATTTTGTACATCAGATTAATTTACATAATCCGGACCATAATAAACCACAGGTGGAACACAGAAACTGATGTAGCATGCCATATTATGAATTTGCCAATTACTGTAGAACAGTGTTTCCTGTTTTTCAACACACAGCTCCCTTTTATAACAGCCAAGTAACCTGTGGCCCCCTCCACTTGCGTGAAAAAGCATTTTTGATCGGGTAGACATACGTATCATGAGAAGACAAACTCTCCTAGCAAAGATAATAATGCTAGTCGCTTGTCCCAGCTCCCGCCAACCTAGCGGTTCGAAAGCATGCAAATGCGAGTAGATAAATAGGGACCACCTTGGTGGGAAGGTAAACAGCGTTCCGTGTCTAAATCACATTGGCCATGTGACCACGGAAAGATTGTCTTCGGACAAACGCTGGCTCTATGGCTTGAAGAGCGGGATGGGCGCCGCCCCCTAGAGTCGGACATGACTGGACAAAAATTGTCAAGGGGAACCTTTACCTTTTTAAAGAGGAAGACAGAACCAGAGATGGCTTGACTCAATAAAGAAACCATGGCCTTTGCAGCAGGGATTTTGACTATAGGAGTGAAGGTTTTTTGGGGGTTGGGGGAGCATTAATTCACAGCACGCACACACCCCAAAGTGGCAGCAATTTGACAGCACATAACACCGCTACCAAATATCTACGGCCTGATGGGGCAGGTCCTTTCCCCTCTCCTTGGCTGGGCTTGCAGTTTGGACTGCGCCTGGGAGCCATTTGCCCCCAGCTTTTCCTAGCTTCCTCTCCAGCCCAGTGGCGGTGAACTCACCAATATCACCTGCCCAGACACAACTGAGGAGCTCAGTGTTTCCCAACCTGGGGGTCATAACCAACAAGAGAGTCGCGGGTTGCCCTATGTGTGTTGTGGCCTTTCTTAAATAATGTTGTCCTTGACCTTTTGGAGGCAGATATTAAAATTAGTGTGTATATGTATGTCTGAGAAACAGGCCCTTTGGGGAAGACAGAAGCCTCTACTTTCTGAGAAGGGACAATTTTACCACACTAAAAATGCCTTTTTATGCAAACAGAGTGGGGGCGGGGAGGGGGGGAGAGAAGGGACTGCAGTTTACTTGGCTATTATAAAAGGGGATTGTGACTTGAAAAAGGTTGGGGACCACTTTGTTAGCATCATCATAGGTATACAGAGAGAAACCCTTGGTTTGTTTAAGTCTGGTGATACCTCCACCCCCACAAAACAGTTTGCGACCCTGTTGGGGGTCATGACCCCTAAGCTGGGAATCTTTCATAGAGATGAAGGCATGGGATAGCCTTATGTTAACTCACACCATGCATTTTAGAAGTCACTTAATAGACATCAAAATGAAGCAGGAGGAACAAAGAATAAACAAGTAAAATGGGGCTACTTGGATACAGGACAGATTTTCTGTGACTGTGGAGAAATTCAATCAGTGAAGCACTTATGTATGTGCAGTTTATGCCCCACCATGTGTACGAAAGAAAATCTAGCAAATGGCTGAGATAATGCTTTTGAAGTTTCTTGCTTCTGGTCAAAATACTTCAATTAGCTTAACATTCTATATTTTTATCTATATTTCATAAATGCCCATAATTTTAAATTGTAGAATGTTCTGATACAACTAAAGAAATAAAGTCTGTCTAGAGCAGTGGTTCCACACCTTGGGTAACCCAGATGTTCTTGGACTTCAACTCCCAGAACTCCATCCAGCACAGCTGGTGGTGAAGGCTTCTGGAAATTGCAGTTTAAGAACACTTGGGTTAGCCAAATTTGGGAACCACTGATCTTGAGTCATTCTGTCGTGGCTAGCAGAAACCCTCCAAGGGCGCAGGCAGAAATTGCTCCTATTACTGGAGAAATTTAATGCAGTTTCTAAGACATCGCCCATTCATTATGTGGGTCCATTGCCACTAACCTGTGGTCCTATGCAGGAAGCAGGAGAACAGTATTCTCCAGTTTAGTGCCTTCCAGATGTGTGAGACTACAGCACCCATAATCCTTGACTATTGTCCATGTAAGACTGATGGGAATTGGAATCGAGCAACATCTATAGACCCCCCCAGGTCTTCCCCTGGTGCTGCACAATGCAGGGTTCATCATGATGTTATGGTGTGCCCTTCCTTTCCTCCAAGAGCCTCTTGGGAGCATACTTGATGAAACTCCACAGCTGTGGAATTCTCTCCCCAGCACCTTCCTATAGAGCCAGAATTGGACAAATTTAAACAAGATTTGAAAATCTGTTCCACTTGGAGCCATAGGTGTTGGATATAGAGAGAGGTCAGCAACTGCTGTGTTTTAATTGAACTTTTTAGCCGGTTTTTAGCCATTGGTTCATTCTTTCTGATGGTTCCTAATTTTTTCAGAGTTTTATATTGATATATAGGTTGTGTGTGTGTGTAATACTAAGGTTGTGTTTCAATGTTGTGTTGTATGTTTGTACATTATTGATTTTATTGGAATGCACTCTGGTGTAGAAAGCAATATAAATCTTATTGTTATTATTAACTCCATCACAGTGCATTTTCTTACATTGTATATTGTTGGAAAGAAAAATAGATACTGAACCGTAGCAGCTCAGTATTTCTTGTAATATCTAGTTCTATGCTAATTGTACTAGAAGGGATGAGAGACCATGTCAACAATCTGTGGCTCTGTGATGAGTAATTCCATTAATTACCCCTTGAATGGCCTCTCTTATTTGACCCAGTGTCCATTTCTGTTCTTTGCTGGAATTGCGGGTGGGGAGAATTTCATTACAGACTCTCCTGCTCCCTCCCTCCCTCCCTGTCTTACTTGACTAAAAAAACGATATTGTCCTGTTGTTTTTATAAAAAACAATCCTATGCTGCTATTTTTTTTTCAAGAAAATCAGGAGAGGAAGTCAGTAACTAAAACCTTCCCCCTCCTGAAGAGAAAAGGCAATTAAGAGAGGCAATTCAAGGGACAATTAAGAGGCTATTTATCGCTAATCTCCCAGCTGCAATCAACAGGAAGCAATAAAATGGACAGGAGATGCAAGTGGGGAACTTTTCAATAAAGACAAAATTGCAAAGCCTTAATAATGCTTGGCTTAGCTGTACTGGACAGGCTGGCTATGCATCTGTATTTTATCACCCCCAAATCATGGCAGGTAGAGAGTGCAGGGGAACCTGTAAGAATTTCAGCACACCGGACTGCAACATAATGTGCATAACAACATAATGTTAAAAAAATCAGGAAAATGACGTAATGTGGATGTTCCATAAAATGTGATTGAACAAAAGATGCCGATTTGAGTAAAAGGGTGAGAGTATGCATAGATATTTGAATGGCCTCCTGAAGAAATCTCAAAGTATGTTTCTGGCTTGAGTTTCTAACATACTCCAGAAATGCTATGAACTTAAAACACAAACGTTCTTGTTTGTTTCAATCAACTAGCAAAGGTTTCAGTCAACCAGCAGGTCTAAGACTACCAGAAAACAGGAAAATATAATCTGTTTTCTTCGCTCCATAAGACGCACAGACTTTCCACCCCCCTGTTTTGTGGGAAAAAAGTGTGTCTTATGGTGCGAAAAATACGGCATATAGTTTGGGGCAAGAGGGGTAATTGGCTGAGGAGGGCTGCTGGTGCTGCTGCATGCTGAGTATTGGAGTTGCCAGAAGGGTGGTGTCAAAGGAAAGGCTAGCTGAAGGACAACCTGGAGGCCTAAAGCACAGTCCACTTGATGGCTTCTCTTGTGTTTTGCTCCCTTTACACAGAGCCAAGCTGAAGCACACTACAAGGGCAACCGCCACGCTCGGCGAGTAAAAGGAATTGAGGCAGCCAGGACGCGGCAGAAGGAATCGGGGACCCGTGAGGGAGACAAGCCGGCACCTGTGGGCAGCCCTTCCTCTAGCACTGGCGAGAGTGATTTTGATCGCACAGGTATGGAGTGCCAGCCCATCTTGTTCTGATCTGCCCTAAGGGCTTCACGAAGTGTGTGAGCATATGTGTGCAGGCCGGCCCAGGAGATTTGGCTATCTGAAGGAAAGAGTAAGATGGCTCCCCTCTCCTCTTCCTCCATACGGAAATTACATGGACTCCCCTGGAATCTGTATCAACATTGCCAATGGGGCAGCAGCATCTTCAGTTACATTGGAGAGCTGTAAGCTAATTAAGGGGATCAGGAGAAGCTGTTTTGGACACACAGCTGTCTTCCTGCAAAGGAGAACTTCCTCAGGATGCACAAATGGACAATGGCCACTGGTATCCCAGACCCCCACTTCCACCGCTGTCAGCATCCTCCACCGAACATGGCTGCCTCACTATTGTGTACACTCTGTATTCCTTAATGAAATTAAACTCATGGTGTCTGGATTTACACTGGAGTTTAGCTCCAGAACTGGTTGCACAGACTCTAGAACCAATTGCCAGGCTAGGACAAGACACAGCCTTGCAATATGTGAAATAATATATTTAAAATAAAATAAAAGAATTGTGCCCCTGAAGATGGGCAGAAAGCATACCTCTTGCCACTGAGCCACTTCATCATAGTCCAGCTACATAACTTCAGCGACTGAAGAAGGTGGCGTAAAAACATTATCAGTGGAAAACATCTTGGTTTCCCCGTTGGCAGGAAAGGATTATTATCATTGCAGGAGAGTGCAGTGATGTTATTATGCAGCACAGCAGATCAGTATTCTGCAAGGCAATTCAAAAAATGGGGACAGCCTAAACAAAAATTATCGCTTTGAAAGTGGACCAACTTAGGTACAAATGTTGCAGGCAGTCAGCTCTTGCTCTGTGCCAAATTTGGGGGAATTTGGGCAAAGGGTATTCAAACTATGATTTTTTAAAAGTAAAAGTGTTTTAATCCCCTCCCCTGATGCAGAAACAAGTTACTTTAAATATCTCCAGATTTTTATATATTTTCTAATTCACTGTTGTTGTAAAAGAGTCATGATGATTGCTTTGTGTTTGGGTGAAAAGTGTTTGGGATTTTGGAAATGGCAGTTAGAACAAAAGAGTAACCTGTAGAGCATCTTGATTGCTGCCATTGGTGTTGTTAACATTCAGGCTGCCCTTTGCTATATAAACCTTGGCATCCTTTTTCCTTCTGGCAATGCAGGTATGATATTGTGCAGTGATACCGGGCCATTTCTTGGTGTTTTGAATCATGGATGCAGAAGCACAATATCCCGCATTCATAAACCGGAGGGGTTTTTTAAAAAAAAGAATTGAATTCTCTTGTTTCACAGGGAAGAGTTATGGTAACTGTCGATAATGCTGGCTAGAGTAAGACAGAACTATGGGGCCCTAGGCACTCCCTGCATTCTGCCTCAATTACAGGGTTCAATAAGACTTTAGCTCTATTCTGCGTCAATTATAGGACTGAGGATGAAACCTTTGCACTGAAAGTGTGGCAGGCAGAGCGAAGGGTTTGATCTTGCATCCTATCTTTTACGTCTTGCTTGTCCTCTCAGCGCTGGAAACCTGAGCTGGCTTGTCAGTGCAGGCGATGGCCAAGCAAGCGAGTAATTAAATTGCATCTAATTAAACATTGATTATGGTTCTGATGGTGGATGGAAATATAGTTGGGGTTGTAGTAGCCAGCCCTGTTCACCTGGAGGACTCTGCCTCTCAGGTGCAGAGGAAGAAGTTTCATGACTTGCAAGGGAACTGACTACTCATCCCCTCCCTGCAGTCTTGCACACACAGCCCTGACATTTCCTTCTCTGCGAGATTCCATTCAAGTGTAGTGTCCTGTCCGTGGAATCAATCTACTGTAATCTGTTTAAGGGGAAGAGGCAGAAGAATGAACAAAACAGTAAAATATATAGAACAGTGTTGATCCTTGATAAACTGAAATGCAGGGTACATATATGAAAGAACAATCTTATCTGCAGATACGTATAGGAAAGCTGGGTGCCGGAGGTGCAGGTATCATTCCAGTAAGAGACTTTTATATTGTTGTCATCAAGATCATCCCTGAGGCTGAGATGGGCTCTTAGTATTCCTAAAAAGCTATCCTTCTGTATTTGTAACCCTGTATTTGATTCTAGGTGGAAATAAAACACAACCCTCTAGTTCATTAACAAATCAATAAGCTGATTTAAATAGATGAATTTAAAAATCAAAGGAACACACCCTGCATTAAGGAGAAATATGAGACTGAGCCAACAGAAATAATGATTCACTTGACATCAGTAACCCATACTTGTTGAAGGGACTCAGCCGCACCCAGTTCTTCCAGCCTAACATTCAACCTGTACAGCACTGCCTGTGAGTTAATTAGTGTTTGTTGCAACATAACTAAGCCAGGTCTGTGTTCATGCCAAAAGAAATGAAGTCACATCTTAACACTGAACTCAAGCTCAGCATCCTTGTGTTATTTCCGCTGCTCCTTTGCCCATGCTGTTGATCTGGGGTGGTGATGCTGCCAGGTTGCTCAAGCTAATTGATTTGCCAGTCATCTTCGGCATGTTCATAATTCTGTAATGTGTAAGAAACCCTGACTGAGGTGCAGTGCACTTTTTAAAATGTCCTCATTTTGCATCACTTACTCTTGGATTTTCCGTGCCTGCTTAGAGGTGCTCTTAGTAAATTTAACAAATGTGATGAGGGGGATTTGAACCATTAAAAAAAAAGACTTCAAGATAAGAGCCTCCGTGAGAGACTAGAAAGTCTGGCTCCTGCTGTAGGCACTTTTTTTAAATTTTTTTTTTATAATACAAAAAAACACCAAAAAAACATACATAACAACAAAAATACAGAAAAAATACGAATACAAAAAAATACAAATAATAGTGCTTATTATAAACTAAATTCTAACGTGTACCCCATACCCATGGGAGTCTATTTAATGATATTTTATTACAGATTACCTCTCCAAAATTGTATTGAGTATTCTTTAGAGGCTTTCCCCCTTCCTTTCACTAACGCAAATCCCACAAATTTACCCCAAAAATCATAAAAATTGTTAGAACTTATTTCCCCTCTTTTTATTTTAAGTTCTATAGTCAATTTATCATTTAATGCAATGTCCCATACTTCACAATACCAGTCTTCTATTTTAATATCATTCTTGTCTTTCCAAAATCTAGCTATTAATATTCTGCTGTGGGCACTTTCCAAATAAGATTGGAACCGTCTGGAAGAATAGCAGTATCGCGGAACCTATACAGTTCCAGGGCCTTTACAGAAAAGGAACAGAGAAGATGGCTGCTGTCATTGGGCCATAGGGACCAGTTATCTCTCTTCCCTTCCCTGTAGCAAAGAGGTCCAATGGTTACATGGTCCTTTACCCTGGATCCTGGGGGGGGGCTATACCTGCTCTAGTGACCCCACCTCACCCCTACACTCCGATTTGTTTTTTTATAAACACTACAAAAAGCCCTCTTGCACCCTCTAGTGGTCATTTTTTTAAAAAAAGATTTTTTAAAGGGGGGTGGGCAGAGATGCTGATCAGGTAATATTTTTTTTCCAAACATGGAGAACCTCCTGTGTTCTTCAGAGGGCTCAAGATAGCCTTTCCACACATTTTCTAAAACTGGTCTGGAGCTGTCCCTGGCAAAGGTGGTAATAGGGTTGGGTAAAGTTATTTGTAGAAGCTATATTCAGAGTGATGAAGGTACAGGTGCAATATTTGGGGGGAGGGAGGCTGAATGGCTCATTTGAGCCACTGAGAGCTGCACCTTCCTCACTCTGAATATAGCTTCTACAAATAATTTTCGTCATTGTTTAGTTGTTTAGTCGTGTCCGACTCTTCGTGACCCCATGGACCAGAGCACGCCAGTCCCTCCTGTCTTCCACTGCCTCCCGGAGTTGGGTCAGATTCATGTTGGTCGCTTCAATGACACTGTCCAGCCATCTCATCCTCTGTCGTCCCCTTCTCCACACTTTCCCAACATCACCCTATTACTACATTTGCCAGGGACAGCTCCAGACCAGTTTTAGAAAATGTGTGGAAAGACTAGGCTTCTTTCTCCTAGTCTGTCTCAGTGGCTTCACCATTGGAAGATTTGATAGGAAATAAAATGAAAAAATGATAGAAGTGTTCTCAAATCACTTGGCATCGTTGTACATTTAAATTCAAGTTTATCTGAAATCTCATAAGCAAAGAGTTTTGTACAAGTTTCAGGCTGTGGATTTGTTACTTGGTGAACAAATAAGAAATTGGGACTGGGCCTGTTTGCCCATTTCTGTTTTGGCTTGATGAGGAAGAAGCAGTGCGTTTAAAAAGGAACTGAACTGGCTTTTCTATCAGGCTGGCTTTTTAGAAAGAAAAATATCTCAAAACTTATATCGTGCTTCTTGCTCCGAAGGGTTAGCTCAGAATTTGTTGTATAACAGAGGTGCTGTCAGTAATGATGAGCATGCTCTGTGTTGAGTAATTTATAAAGGAGGTTGCCAGACACCGAGATATGTTGTTTAAATATACACTTTACTAAACCTCTTAGGATAAGGTACACGGGGTTCCCTAGTAAATAAACATAACATCTAAAAAATAAATATATTACATACCATGTATATAATTGAGCAACATATGCAACAGCATTTCAGGTAGCGCCAATAGATAGGCAAACACAAAGGTTATGCCTTGCATGTAGTATCGCACCATCCGAGGGAGGGTGTGTGTGTGTGTGTGAGTGAAACAAAACTACATTTATAAGGCTGATTGACTATAGGGAACACATGAGGTTCCTTCCAAGTTTGTTCATTAAAGAGAAAGGACATGTTACAGATTGCACATTACAACACTCTGAACACAGGAAGAACCTCCTCATGATAAGAATAGTTTGCTAGTGGAACTGATTTTCTCAGAAGGTGTTGGGGTCTCTTTTGCTTGAAATATTTAAGCACAGATGCAGCAACCATCTTATGCTTACTCTAGTTGCAGCCTTCATTGCAAGCCCGACGTTGAATAGAGAGGGTTGAAGTAGATT